GGGAGGGAAGCTGGAAGGACGGGATCCCTAAGCCAGGCTGGCGCTGGAGCTGGGCCAGTCCCAGCCTGGAGAGAGCTCTGGGTGATGCCTTTGCCAGCCTGGATGAGCCCCTTGGGATGGTCACAGGATCCCCCCAAGGACACTCACAGGCAGTCAGGACCAAGGAGCTGCAGGAGAGGACCAAGCACGGTGGCTGCCCCCCACAAGGAACTGGTTTGCTCAGCACTGGGAAGAGCCAGAGGCTTGTCCCGAGTTTCCAGAGGGCACAGATGGGATGATACCCGTGGAGCAGTCGGGTGCTGGAGAGGAGGGAGATCACTCCTGCTTTTCTGTGGGCTTGGGTCTGGCAGGATGCTCCACGTGCGTGGAGACCAGACCAGTGTCCCCAGCCCAGTGTGACCCAGAAGTCACTGGGAATCAAGGGAATGAACAAGGGAATGTGATCACAAACCTCAACTCCTCAGGAAACCAGCAACTGGGAAAAGCCATCCATGCACATCCATGCTTGTCCTGGTGCCTTTTCCCTCCCCCCCTTTTCCTGTCCCAGCAGGATGGAGTAATCCCCCTGTGGGGACAATAGAGGTGACACCCCAGCTCTGTGCTACGCTGGGCACCTCCAGAAGCTGCTGAAGGTCCCTCCTCGTCACCAAATAATTTGTGGCCCTGTGGCACTGGGATGGAGCAAAGGGCACACTGCTGGGAGGAGGGAGCCCAGCTCCTCACCCACCATCGATGGAGCAGTAGGGGAGGGGACAACGGCATGGTGCCAGGACCAGGCTCAGCTTCAAACCCACCACCCTGTCAGCACTGCAGAGCAGTGGGGAGCTCATTCCCACCTCCTGGGCATCCCTGTGGATGCCTGGGAACAGTGGGATGGAAACCAGAGACGAGGGTCACTTCAAAAGGGCCTTTCTAAAACATCCCCTTAAACGGAACAAAGCAGGTGACACAGCTGTGCCTCTCCCCTGAGAGGTGATTTCAAGCAGCACTTCCAGGAGATCACAGCTGGAATCTGCAGGAGATTCCCAGCCAGCTCACTAAGGACAGGGACAGCAGCTCCCACATGTTTCAGAGCCAGCCCCTGGCACAGGGCACAGGGAGAACCCCCCAGCCACGGC